CTTTCCAATTGGCTTCTTGTCACTGAAATAGAACTTCTTGTGGACCATCTTTGAACATGCATAAAGTCGACGAAGATGTCCCTCCAGAAGATAATGGAAATTCGAGTATCAAACGCCTTGAATTAATGATTAATCTGCTATTGCAAGAATTAACAAAGAATCGAGGACACATCGTCCATCTCGTCCATCCGCGCCCCCCAAATGTTGGTCATGTGGTGAACCTGGTGATCTAGAGAGAAATTGTCCAAAAGAAAGTGAAAAACGAACCAGAAAGGAGAAAGCAAAGGAAGAGAAAGAAAAGGAAGAAGAGCAACCAAAGAAACTTAGGCACATAGCTTCCAAAAAACCACGGCCGGGAAACGGGAAGTGGTCGGGCTAGAGGGCCAAGGCTCGACCAGTGTGGAAAATAAAAAGGCCCGTATGGAAATAAAAGTTTGCGGTGGAACTTTAAAGGTATCCGGGTTCATGGAGAATACGCCCTGTCAGTTCGTAGTAGATACTGGTGCTGATGTGACCATACTAAGTTCTCGAGTATTTCATAGAATGGACTCTGCCGCAGCAGTAGAAACTATGTCTACTGATGGAGTTATAAGAGGCTTGGACAGACAAATAATCCTAGTTATCGGACGAGTCGCTCTGGAAATTAGGTTGGGCGAAACGGATGGGAAATCGGATGTATGGGCTCATATTCAAGAGGAGTGTATCCTCGGCGCGGACTTTTTGAAGAAGGAAGGTTGTATCATTGATTATCCAAGACAAACACTTCGAATAAGTGAAACGGAAATTCCCCTGCAAGTCTGTGGAGAGGACTTGAACACTGGGAACGCTGACGCCTTATCAAGGAGACCATGTGACCAAAACGGATGCTGCTATTGTTAGAAGAGATAAGTAAAGGAATGGCAGTTACAGGAAGATGACTCTCAGCACTACATTGGGAGCACAGCTGAACACCAGGTTGGAGCAGTTACTAGTGATCAACCATGTTTCGAACGTATTGGACAAGCGCAGCGTTCCGATCTTGAAATCCGTTGTGTGATATTGTGGTTGGAGGAGTCGTTAACGAAGCCAGAATGGCGAGAAGTGTCCTCCTATAGTACTGCCGTAAAGTCGTATTGGGGCCAATGGGAGTTCTTTGAAACTACACAAGGTTTGGCAACTGGTTGTCCCGCAAGCATTGCGTGAAACAGTCCTTCAACAGCTTCACGACAGTCCAACAGGGGGTCATTTTGGTGTAACGAAAACACTGGCTAAAGTCCGAAAAACATTCTTTTGGCCGAATTGCCAACAGTACGTTGAAGAATGGTGCCGGAAATGCGATCAGTGTGCTTCTCGTAAAGGACCGAGTAAACGTCAGAAAGGACCGATGAAACAGTTCAATGTTGGCGCCCCACTGGAAAGAGTGGCAGTTCATGTGCTGGGTCCTTCACCAACGTCTTCTAGTGGCAACAAGTATATTCTAATTCTTGGAGATTACTTTACAAAATGGGTGGAGGCATAGCCACTAGAAAATCAAAAGGCTGAGACTGTGGCAGAAGTTATTGTTAAAGAGTTTGTTTCTCGGTTTGGCGTTCCCCTGCAATAACACTCAGACCAAGACTCAAACAACCGCACTGCATCCACAGTCTGACGGATTAGTGGCAAGATTCAATCGAACTTTGGAAAATCAGCTTGCAATATTTGTGGAACGTAACCAAAGAGACTGGGATAGATGGATACCATTCCTCCTGATAGCGTATTGATTGTCAATCCACGAGAGCACGAAGCAGACATCAACATGTCTTATGTTTGGTCGAGAGGTGAAATTGCCAATTGACCTGTTGTATGGTCGACCCCCTGGACCGGTATTACCAAGTACAGTGGATGATTATGTCAGTAAACTGAGAGGAAAGTTAGAGGAAATCCACGAGTTTGCACGCATTCGGATGTGTGTCGCTAGCGATCGAATGAAACTTCGCTATGATGTTGGTACGACGAAAACCGTCTTTTCAGAAGGGGATGCTGTCTGGCTATACAACCCAAAACGGGGAAAAGGCGTATCACCCAAACTTTCTTGTGACTGGGAAGGACCTTATGTTGTTCTTAAAAGGATTAATGAACTGTTGTAACGAGTAAGGAAATCTGCGAACGCTAAACCTCGTGTCGTACATCGAAATAGATTGTGGCGCTATCTAGGGACACTTAATTAAGACAATTAACGAACTTTATTCGGGACGAATAAACTAAGGAGGGGGCAATGTGGCGTGACATGCTTCACGTAATATGTAAATATGTATATACTCTAATTGAATGGCCAATTAGGTAGGCACTTGTATAAATATGGGTTCTTTTGCTTGTAAAAAAGTTGTTGTTGTGAAACTTACGTCGGACTAGCATGTTACACAAGCAACAGCTTTTCGGTCTTGTTCCAGAAATTGCATGAAATAAACAAATGGGTGTACTTTCTCAGTGGCAGTCATTCTTTGTATTTTCTACACCATTCAACCTTCAAATGACATGGTAACAGTTCCCCATAATCATATCAACATCTCGCAGTGTGAGAATGTTCAAAATTCCTAACTCGTCCAGTTGGTTATATGCAGATTCAACCTCGTCTACTAATTCTACTAAGCCTTTATAGTCCTCTTCTGATACTACCTTAAACTTGTGTAAGTCTTTCAAAGCCGCATTACCACTGGCGCTTGTACTTCTCACGGACAGAACGATAGTTTGCAGTCATGTGTCGCGCGAGATGTAGGTGGTGCGCTGATATTTCGAACTCGACAGAATCGAATAAACAATCAATGCGCAAACAGACAGTTAATAAATGATTACTTTAATATCGAAATGATTTGGTTGACTATGCAAATTGACATCAGATCGGCGTGGTAGCAAAGGTTGTATGGTGGGTAGATATAGGTAGGCAGGTAGCAGGAATGTAGATACGTAGTGGATAATAGTAGATAGTAGCAGATAGTAGTAGATGGTAGTAGATAGTAGGTTCGAACTAGAGAACACAAAACAACAATAGCTATACTAAATACAGTATTGCGTGATCACATGCACATACAGCACGCAACTTTAACCATTTCATGCGCGGCCCATACATTAGATAAAATAGCACGTCATGAACAATAACCTGCATGCAAGACAACTTGAACAGTGTTCGAAGTGTTCCATAAACAAAACTAAATCTAAGGTTCGTAAATACGAAAATAAAGTCTTGGTAACAAACTAAATCTAAGTTAACAAAGAACTAAATATAACTATGAATTTAACTCACTTTGGTTTACACGCGCACCAAAGACAACGATTTGAACTTGAAAGAATATTTGCGCCAGCAGTGTCCAACACAAACAAGTAAAACAAATAGCCACGCCAGTAGCAGTTGTTATCGCAATAACGTCTATGTTTCAACTGAAGGTGTTTTTGCCAAACGCATCAACTTGATGCATGGCCGTCACACCCTTGCCAAGTTCCGCATGCGAATTAATATTGCTGGCGTCTTGTTGATGTAAATATGTAAAATGTATTAATATATAGAAATTAAATGCGTTTCAAAACTAACATACCGGCCCCTTAAAGGCGAATCATGAAGAGCCTTTACCAATAAAGATATATATATATATATAAAATGTTTTGAAACGGAGCATAACCTAATTACTATATATTCTACTTATCGTTTTCTTGGTTTTCTGTTCCTTCCAAGAATACAATCTTGCTGACCGGTCGTACCAACTCCGTCTTTCTGCTCTTCAACTTAACCGAGCGCACGAATCCGTCATTGCGATTCTTGTAAACTTTGAGAACGCGTCGAGAGGCCAGGAATTTCTTGGAGTTCTTTCGTCTACGATCAGCACGATGTCATTCACTTCGAGGTTTCTTTTTTCTTTATTCCACTTCTGTTGCAACTGGAGGGACGGAAGGTACTCCTTTATCCAGCGACGCCAAAATAAGTCCGCGAGGTACTGTATTTGACGCCATCGTCGGCCGTACAGGTCTTGCTTGGATAGGATAGCCGGTGGGACGCCAGGTCCAGCTCTCAAGAGCAACAGGTGGTTTGGGGTTAGTGGTTCCATGTCTCGGGGATCGTCTGAACATTTGGTGATTGGCCGCCCATTCACTATCGCCTCGACTTCGCACATCAGGGTGCAGATGCCTTCGTCGTCTAAAACTTGTTCCACCATCAAGGCCTTTATTATCTTTCGCGTCGTCCTGATGCATCGGTCCCATACTCCGCCGTGGTGGGAACCGGTTGGTGGGTTAAAGGTCCATTTGATGTTGCGTTGTAGGAGGAAGTGGTGGATTTGGGATTGATTCCATTCTTTCACGGCTTCGCGCAATTCTCTTTCCCCCTTGACGAAATTGCCGCCGTTATCTGATCTGATCTCTTCAGGTTGACCTCTTCGAGAAATAAATCTTCGCAGTGCGTTAATGAACGAACCCGTGTCTAAAGAGCTCGCAAATTCGAGATGGATAGCACGCACGCTCAAGCACGTAAACAAAACTCCATAACGTTTCACGGTCGTTCTACCTCGTCGAACTTCGAAGGGGCCAAAACAGTCCACGCCAGTGAATGTGAAAGGTGGCTTTAAGGGGGTGATCCGGTCAGATGGTAGGTTCGCCATTTTCTGTTCCCCAACGGGTGCTTGTCGCTTTCGGCAGCTTACACAGGAATTGAGAATTTGTCGAATGGTTCTTCTTCCGTTTATTATCCAGTACCTTTCACGTATCAGAGACAGGGTGTATTCTAGACCTGAGTGACCAGAAAGTTGGTGGTAATGGGTCACGACAAGGGTTACCACATGGTGGTTTTTTGGTAGGATAATGGGGTGTTTGGTATTCGGTTGATTGGTGCTCTACCCAAACGGCCACCGACGCGTAACAGCCCTTCACTTGCCATTGGGTCGAGTTTGAAGATTTTGCTGGATTTCTTTAGCGTCTTTGGTTGCCTCATACGACTGCCTTGCTTAAGCACTTTCGAGGAGGTCATGCTCTTCTTTGAAACTTTGACCTGAACATGTTCAGGATCTCAATTTCGGCGTTTCTAACTCGTTCACATCAATGGGTATTACGCCATTGGTTGACTCGATCTCGATAGGTTCACCTACTCTTCGTTTCCTGCTCGAATTGAGTAGTTTCGTCTTGTATCGTAAAATCCATGCCACTGTTGTTTTCAAGCGGCTCCAAGATGAGTTTCTTTCGATTATCGTCGTCATGGGGTGTTGATCAGGTAGACTGCTGGTTGCACATGAAATCGTTTCTTTGACTTCAGGGTCGTCATCGCGAACATTGGTACTCATATCGGCTGGTCTCTTTGGCCATTCGTCAAACGACTTCGAAAGGAAGTCTGGTCCTCTAATCCAGCGGTCGAGTGAATCTGACGGGACTCCTCTCGAAGCATCATCTGCTGGGTTGAGATCAGTGTTGACATAATTCCACTGGGATGGTGAAGAGGCATTGTGGATGGTTTCAATACGATTCGCGACGAAGGTTTGAAATCGTTTGTCTTCGTTCTCTATATAACGCAGCACGCAAGTACTGTCCGTCCAAAAGAAAGACCGGTCGATTGGTGATCTGAGCTCCCGTTGACATATTTTGTCTAGTCTTGTAGCGACCACCGCCGCTGACAATTCCATCCGAGGTATTGTGACTGGCTTGATTGGTGCGAGCCTAGCTTTACCCATTATAAACGAGCATTTCACGTTGTGATCGGTATCTTCGACTCTAAGATATGACACCGCGCCGTATCCGTGTTGAGATGCGTCAGCAAAGTGGTGGAGTTGAACGTCATAGACTTTCCCAAGAGATTTTGGTTTAAAGCAGCGATCGACCACGAGTTGTTCCAGCTTGGGTAGCTCTTGTAGCCATCCGTGCCATCGTTTCAGGGATTCTTCTGGGATGGGCTCGTCCCAGCCTAATTTCTTACGGCATAGATCTTGTAGTATGAGCTTAGCTTGAAATATAAATGGCGCGGCGAATCCAAGAGGGTCATAGACTGAGCTGACGATCAACAAGATTCCTCTTCTCATAGGGGGTCGGTCCTTCACGACGATCTTGAAACCAAACTGATCGGAAGTAATATTCCATTGAACTCCAAGAGCTCTTTCGACAGACCAACTGTTGAAATCTAGGGTTTTGACCAGCGAGGCTCTTTCCGATTCAGGGAGGGATTGAACGACCTTTTTCGAGTTTGAAAGCCACTTTGTAAGCCTGAACCCTCCTCTGGCCAGTAACTCCCGCAGCTGTTTCGCGAGATCAACGGCTTCGTCTTCCCCTTTGACTGACTTTAGGCAGTCGTCGACATAGAAGTTACGTTGCACTGTCTCGATGACCTTGGGCTCGAAATCTGCTTCGTTGTCTTTAGCGGTCCTTTTCAGGGCAAAATTAGCGCAGCTTGGGGATGAGGCACCGCCGAAGAGATGAACTCTCATTTCGTACTCTTCTGGTTTCTTGGCGAGATCGCCATCCGGCCACCACAGAAATCTGAGGGCGTCACAATCGCTTGAGGGGACGCGCACTTGATAGAACATCGCTTCGATGTCTGCCATGAATGCTACAGGTTCTTCTCTGAATCTTGTAAGCACGCCGATGAGTGTATTTGTCAAATCTGGCCCCTGTAGCAATTGGTCATTCAACGAGGCTTCGCGATACTTTGCTGAGCAGTCGAATACGACGCGAACCTTGTCGGGTTTTTGAGGGTGGAATACAGGGTGATGAGGTAAATACCAATGGGTTTTCAGCGGACCGAGATCTTGGCTGTCAACTTTCCTGGCGTAATCCTTACATAAAAAATCGTTCATGAATGTTTTGTACTTGCTTAATAACTGTGGATCGTGTTGCAATCGCCTTTTCAACGAATGTAGTCTTTGTTCAGCTTGTAACCTGTTGTTCTCGAGATGCGGTGGGTTGTTCTTCCACGGAAGTCCAATCTCGTAGTGACCGTTAACCATCTTGACCGTTTTTTCCATGATATTTAAAGCCTTCTTGTCGTTCTGTGACATAGAAATTTCAGAGGACTCGTACTTTACATCGTCGAACTCCATGTTACATAAATTCTTGAATTGCTTGTTAAGTATGTTGTCTGCCTGAACACAATGTGTAGCGGGGGCTTTGTTTTCCTTTCGTCCAAGCGGGCCATTAAGGACCCAGCCTAAAACCGTTTTCGTTGCGAAGGGACCTCCATTCTCGCTCTGTCTTACTTCCCTTGGTTGCAGTATTTCTGGGGCGTCACTTCCAATTAAGAGACCGATCTCAGCATCAATGTGTGGGATGGTTATACCTTTTAGATGTGGCCAGCGATTGACGTCTTCCTGTTTACCAATACATTCCGGTCGGATAGGTAGATTTGGGGTGGAATACACTGTTGGTATTACAACGCGGGTTTCGTTGTTTAAGTCAGCGACTTGAATCTTGAGTAATGAACATTCGATCGGCATACCTTCGCCGAGCATTGTGGTAAGGGACAGCTTCGTTCTTTGTCCTTGATGGTCGAGCCTTTTCAGTAGGCTTTCAGTGCAACACGAGGTGTTAGAACCAGAATCTAGGAAAGCATATGTTTCCACAACTTTAGATCTTCCTTCCGCCGTTACTCTGACCGGGACAATCGCGAGGCCCGTTACAGAAGAGCTGCGGGTACCAGATTTAGGCGACATCTTTACATAGCCATTGTTGGCTGTGTCCTGTTCCGCGACGTTGTTTCCCTTCCCAGACGTCTTCTCATCATCTTCACCCCGCTGATTTGGGATTATTTTCTTCGGGTGAAGGAAAGTCGAATGCTTTCCACTGCATCCATCCACCTTGCAGAAGCTATTCTTAGGGCAGGAATGGACGAAATGCCCAACTCTGAGACAGTTCATGCAAAGTCGCTTATCTTTCACAAGCGCCTTTCTTTCTTCGAGGGAAAGCTTGCGAAATTTTTCACAACTTGACAACCAATGGTTAGCACTACACGAAGGACATTCGGGTAGCTTTCTTGATTCTTGGCCGTGTTTGGGCGATTGATCTCCTTGCGTTGCAAAGCCATTTGCTCTGTTACTAAATCAAGGTCTGTGTTTTTCATTTGCTTGTTTTCCTTTGCTTTCGTTGACAACCTTCCCAAATAGAGGGTGGCTGGCTGCTCTTGCCTTCGCAGTCACAGGGTGATCTAACTTACTGACACAGCCGATTTCTTTCAGGGTGTTAGTACAGCTAGTTAACTGAACAGAGAACTTTAGAAGCGCCTCTCCATCCTCGGACTTTATTGGCAATCCATCTGTTAGAGCTTGTACGTGTGCGGTTGCGATTCTATAATTCTGACCATATCTCTCTTTCAGGAGTCTCCTCGCCTCCTTGTAGCCTTCCTCGATGTTCATTGACAAACAACTTTTCATCAGATCTTGAACGGGTCCTGATGTATATTGAATGAGGTAATATAGACGGGAGCTTGAGCAAGGGGTCTTTTCTTCGACAAGGTGTTCAAATCCTCGAACGAAGTCGCTGTAGTCTATAGGATCTCCTGTGAAGACTTTAATGGTCGGTTTTGGTAACGTGAGCGCCATGACGCTTTGTTGCTGTTGTTGCACTAACTGTTGAAGGGCCGTGCTCTGGCGATCTTGAGTTTCCATCAGCTGGTGAAATGCGCCATCGCCAACATGAGTTGCAGGCTGCTGAGGTAGTGCCGTACTGGGAGACCATACAATCGCACTAGGATTTAACTGTTGACCAGTTGATGGAACAACTTCTGAGTGATTCTTTGGTTGTCGATTAGCCGTTTGCCTCTGCTCTGGGTTGTTTTCAGCAATCCTTTCTAAAGTTTGAGGAAAGGGAGGTTGCGATGGTATACGCAAAGATCGCTGTTCGATTGTATTTAGTTGAGGCAAACACTCGCTTTGGTTTTCCTCAACCTCGGTCTGTTCGTAGACCCTTTTCTCGGCTTCGGCCGCGGCTATCTCTGCTTGAAGCTGTACTTGAGATTTCATTTGTTGGATTTTTAGTTCTTCTAATTGGAGGTTATGCAACCTTTCCAATGCATTTGCTCTGGCTTCTAGTGCCGCCTGTTTCGCCGCCGCCTTCGCTTTGGCACTTGACGCACTTCTTAATGAACTTGCTCTTGAATGAGCATGTGACGAACGGCGTGATCCCACGGAGCTCACTGAATCCTCTGGTTGGATTTGTCTCTCGGGTTGAATTGGTTCGTTTGATTGGGAATGATCGATAGGTTGCTCGAGCCACAAATTGACCCTTTCTCGAAGCTCTGAAAATAATTCTTCTACGGAGTCAGCGTACACTTTCGACTCTTGAATCGCTTGTTCATCTTTAACTAAACTATGATAGTTATAGTGTGCTAATTGAAATTGGCTCCAAACTTCAAGCAGTTCCTTCAAGGCATTTTTAACAGCCTCAGTTTCGCCTTTTGAATTTATTAGCTCATTAAGCTTATTAGCTTTCCTGGTTACATTTCCTTTCGCGGTACTTTGAAATTGTCTTAATTGATCGGTATCGTGCTCTAATTCAGGATCCATGTGGGACATGATAATTGATTCGATTTCTGGACAGGAAACCCCCTTTATCCGATTTGGCCGCTGGAGTTGCACGGAACAGTTGATTAGATTGTTTTGATTTTTGGGCAGGAAACCCCTTAATGCGACTTGGCCGCTGCAGTTGCACGAAACAGTCGATTAAATTCTTTAGATTCTTTGAATTCCTTCACGGTGTAGTAAATTCGAACTTAAATGTACTTCTCACAGATAGAACGATAGTTTGCAGTCACATGTCGCGCGAGATGTAGGTGGTGCGCTGATATTTCGAACTTGACAGAATCGAATAAACAATCAATGCGCAAACAGACAGTTAATAAATGATTACTTTAATATCGAAATGATTTGGTTGACTATGCAAATTGACATCAGATCGGCGTGGTAGCAAAGGTTGTATGGTGGGTAGATATAGGTAGGCAGGTAGCAGGAATGTAGATACGTAGTGGATAATAGTAGATAGTAGCAGATAGTAGTAGATGGTAGTAGATAGTAGGTTCGAACTAAAGAACACGAAACAACAATAGCTATACTAAATACAGTATTGCGTGATCACATGCACATACAGCACGCAACTTTAACCATTTCATGCGCGGCCCATACATTAGATAAAATAGCACGTCATGAACAATAACCTGCATGCAAGACAACTTGAACAGTGTTCGAAGTGTTCCATAAACAAAACTAAATCTAAGGTTCGTAAATACGAAAATAAAGTCTTGGTAACAAACTAAATCTAAGTTAACAAAGAACTAAATATAACTATGAATTTAACTCACTTTGGTTTACACGCGCACCAAAGACAACGATTTGAACTTGATAGAATATTTGCGCCAGCAGCGTCCAACACAAACAAGTAAAACAAATAGCCACGCCAGTAGCAGTTGTTATCGCAATAACGTCTATGTTTCAACTGAAGGTGTTTTTGCCAAACGCATCAACTTGATGCATGGCCGTCACACCCTTGCCAAGTTCCACATGCGAATTAATATTGCTGGCGTCTTGTTGATGTAAATATGTAAAATGTATTAATATATAGAAATTAAATGCGTTTCAAAACTAACAGCGCTAACGTCCTTGTAATAACTTTCCAACTTTTGCCACATAACATCATAGGCTTCAGGCTTTGTCACGAACACTGACTTTATGTGTTTGCTTGCTTCTCCCTTAACAGATTTCTTCAGTTCATGGGCTAGTGCTGTCTTGTTCTGATATGTTGTCTCTGCTGCAGACTTCCAAATTGCTCTGAATTTTGGTCAGTCTTTTTCGTTACCGTTGAATGTTGGGAGAGTCATTTTCTTCACCTGAACACGAGGGCCAAGATCAACAGGTCGGGGTAGTGCATGTGGCTGTGACAGAGTGTCGAAGGAAGTGGTGACAGTGATAGGGCTAACACCATGCACCCCACTAAGGCCATGAGTGGGATAGGTCATACTCATTGGTGGGTAAAGAGCTGCTGGACTGGTGGTTGTAGCAATAGGGTTTAGACTAACTGGGAGCTGATATGAACTAGACATGCTTGGCACATGTACATTTGTATAGGGATAGGATGTCATACTGAGAGATGATGAGACTGTATGTTGACTTGGATGTTGTTGATGGAAAGGACTGGGATTTATAGGAATATATGGGTTGGCCATGGTGGCACTATGGGGAGCATGGGGGTATTATTCGAGTACTGCAGAGGGTTTGTTGTGGGACTGATGCTGGTAGGTGGGTGGAATGTGGTGGTAGGGGGATGCTGAGGAAAGGTGGCATTGATATTAATTGCTGTGGAGGGTTGGGGCATAGGGGTATTTGTGTAGAGGGGTGGGCTTGCCAAAGTTGGTTGATGGTTGGGGGTTATAGGTACAGACTGTTGAGGTGGGGTGTTATCGTCACTTGGATGCTGGTGTGGGGGAGTGGTGATTAGTTGTGGAATGGGATCTGTGGTCACACTAACAGGTTCCATAGGAGTAGCACTAGTATTAGCAAGTTGATCATTGTTCATTAAGCTGGCATTACTCGTTGCAGGAACTGTGATAGATGCTGTTGAGGTGGGTACAAATTCAGTTGCAAAAACATCAATTACACTGGGGTTATTAGACATAGGGACTGTATGGGTTGGTTGTACATGGTTATTTGTGGTAGGTATATCCATACCACCTATATCAGTTGATGAGATAGAACTCTCTTTGTGCACATAACTAGGGACTGGGAGGGTGCTTTCTGTGCTCTTTGTACTTTGAATATACAAATTTATTGCTCTTACTTCGTCAAAGACCTGCCCAATAACTTTATCAACCTCAGTCTGTAACTGAACATCTTGCCCCGCATGCAACAACTCAAGTACACTAAGCTCAGAAACTCTTCCACACAGATGATCTAACATAGATTGTAAATCTTGTTTATCAAGTTGTAATTCTTGAAGAATAGGATTCTCAGAGTTAATGTTCTTATCTTCTGCATCAAGCAACTCACTTATTCTTGGCACTTCTAACTTTAAGGCAATTCGTACGGGCTGTGCAGCTTGATCCTTACTGACTTGTTCGTCAGCAATCTTTTGTTGTACAAATACATCTCTAGCCTCAGTGTAACACTGCTTAACATTGTCTCTATATTCATTAATACTCTCCCCGTTAACTACACGATGTTGTACGTTACTTTCTTCCAATACAAGTAATTAAAACTCTTCATTCACAACCTAAAAATCGTAATATATTTTCACCGGAATCTCCGCAACACAATGGCCAAGCTAAGAGGGAATTAAGATTGGGGATAGAATTTTATTTCGCTTGGCCATAGTGAGCGAAGTGATGGGTGTCGCAACTGAGGGGAGGTAGGTGTTCCCCCAAAAAATCCGACATTCGTAACCTTCGTGTTGACGAGCAAACACCGAATGTGTAAAAACTAGATTATTCTCGGGTTTTTATGCGTTTTTTGTTGGTCCCTAGGGTAATAAAATGCTCTTATGCTAATTTTGAACACATTAATTCCATTTCCAATGGCCCCGTATTAGCAGAGATGCCGGTAAAAATAGTAATATATTTTCACCGGAATCTCCGCAACACAATGGCCAAGCTAAAAGGGAATTAAGATTGGGGATAGAATTTTATTTTACGCTACTGCACATACTGAGCTCTTTATTTCACATAAATCGT